ACGACGAGAGAGAGAGAGAGAGAGAGAGAGAGAGAGAGGTTTGAAGGAAGAGGAAAATGGAAGATAAACAAGAAGAGGATGAGTAAGAAGTAGAAGGGGAAAGAAGAGAGACAGAATGAAACTGTAGGGGAAAGAAAAAAAGAAAGAAAAAGATAATGATGGTCATGATGATGAAGGAGAAGATGATGATGATAATGAAGTCTGTTGTAATTGGTTTCCAGCCATTAAAATGTATTATCTTTGTAGTTTACAGTTCATAGGGGAAAAGACAAATATTCCATTCTTTGGTGAAAGTTTCCTGCCAAACATTTCCCCAGCACAGCTTTGATCTTCTTGTTCCTTAGAATGTAGATGAGGGGATTCATCACGGGCGGTACCACGGAATAGAATACAGCCACCAACAGCTCCTGAGCACTGGTGGCAGCTGATGCTGGTCCCATGTATGCAAAGGTGCTGGCTCCAAGGAACAGAATCACCACCATAAGGTGGGGCAGGCAGGTGCAGAAGACCTCAGATTTGCCCTGCATGGAGGGGATCCTCAGGACAGTGGCAAAGATATGGAAATAAGACATCACAATGAAAGCAAAGCAACACAAGCCTATGCTCACACTGATGGTGATCACAGTGATTTTGCTGAGATAGGACTTGGAGCAGGAGAGCTTCAGCAGTGGGGGAATAGTGCAGAAGAACTGCTGGATAACATTAGAGGGGCAGAAAGGCCGCCTGACCATGTTACCAGTGTGCAGCACTGAGTACAGAGTGCCATTTGAGTACACTTCCCCGTGCTCATGATGGCCCCATAGCACAGAGGATTGCAGATGGCAAGGTAGTGGTCATAGGACATTATGGTGAGGAAGGCCAGCTCTGCTCCCATGAATGCAATGATGAGGAATACCTGAGTGATGCACCCCAAGAAGGAAATGGATGAGTAGTTGGTGAGGGAGTTCACCAGGGATTTGGGGACAGTGACTGAGATGTAGCAGAGGTCCAGGAAGGATAAATTGACAAGGAAGCAGTATATGGGGATGTGGAGGTGGTGGTGAAGGGCTATGACCATAATGATGAGAAGATTCCTCAGCAGAGCCCCCAGGTAAATCACTAGAAATACCAAAAAGTTCAAAATCTGCAGCTCCCAGATATTAGAGAATCCCGGTAAAAGAAACTCAGTCATACTGATCCCATTGGACATCTCCTTCATCTTTATGTTCTGTGTGGCCTGCAAAGGAAAGAGGCCAAGGGAATGGTTATGGCAAGGGCATCACAGGGGAATAACACAGGAACTTTTTCTTGACATATGTGCAATGTGCCTGAGGTGGCACATGGCCAGGATTCATCACCGAATTTGCTCAGTTTGTGATCATGGCATAGAGATACACTTATAAAGTTTGCCAATGATACCAAGCTGGAAGGGGTTGCAAGTGCTTTGGAGGGTAGGATTAGAATTCAAAATGATCTTGACAAATTGGAGATATGATCTGAATTGAATAGGATGAAATTCAATAGGGGCAAATTCAAAGTACTACGCCTGGGAAGGGCACAATCAATTGCACAAATACAAAATGGGAAATGACTGCCTTGGAAGAAATACTGCAAATGAGGATCTTGGGGTTATAGTGTATCACAAACTAAATGCACTGCTCTATAGCCAAAATGCTTCTGAAATAAATGTAGTCAAACTTTACTAATTCTGGGTCACTGAGAATGAAAATGATGCTTAAAATTGTTGATTGGCTCTAGTTTTCAAGACATGCTATTGAGTCGGTATATACGACCCTTGACTTGGGAATGGCGGAGGATAAGTGAGTTATAAAGGGAAAGGATCTTACTTTAAATCAGAAATGACTAAAAGACATCTTTGACTGGATCTATGAATAAATCTATGACTGGGTTTGGACAGTACTTCCTTTTTAGGCAAAACAATGAATGATGGAATCTGAAGCTGGTATCACGTCATACATGATATGAATTACATCATGTTCTTTCTAGAAGTCATGGATGATGCAATCATAACGAAGCTTACATCACTCTGCTGAACAAATTGCCCTGTATCAGCTCTAGAAATCATACAGTGTCGTGCTCTCTTATTTGTCAGTGTTTGATTTTGCAAAGGGACACATTTCTGTTTAGCCAAAGTGAGCAGAGATGCCTCGTCCTTGTGTGAACAGTGCAGATAACTTCTGCTATGTTTGTGGTGAAGTGCCTTTTGCATCACAAAAGCACAGTATAACCACTATGGTTAAGAAAGCCTATCACCTTTATTTTGGCTGCAAAATTGGAGATCAGGATAAGAGGTGGGCCCCACACATGTGCTGCCACAGCTGCGTTACTCATGTTCGCCTG